AAAAAAAAAAAAAAAAAACAGAAGAGAGTTGTAGGCACGCTAGCGAAATTTCAAGACTTCGAGGGGGTTGAATTGCAAAATCATGCAATTGGTCAGCCTCTTGTGACCATCGTCGTTGAAAGGAACACGACGGCGTTTTTGGGGTGGTGGCATTTGGCCGGAGAAGGAGAAAGCAGCGGGGTTGGGCGGGTCTCCATTACCCGACCCGGCGATCTGGATATCTCAGACTCAGACTGAGATGGGTCTGGTTTGGTTCACTTAAGCTTGTATATTTCTTTCTTTTTTTTCCTTATTTTTTTGTTTTGAAAATTTCTTGTTTGAGAGGGCTCTGTCTCTCAGAGAAAAGAGAAATAGGGACAAAACCCAAGTGACAGAGATGTTATGTAAGGTGCTCAGTGGAGGGTACGTGACGTCACGCGCCACCACGGTGAGCGTGGGGAAACATGGGTGCGTTTCATTGATGGAATTGGAAACTACGGCCGTGCGGTCACGGTGAGGTAATATTAATAATGCCAACACTCACAGTCTCACACGGACAAAAACAGTACCTGACATTGATCATCACCCCCTCCTCATTGGAGCGTGACCCACACGTGCCATGCAGGGTTTTGGGGTTTTTGCTTTCATAATTTTTATTTTTATTTTTATTTTATTTATTTGCTCTCTTTACTTTTCTTTTCTGTGTGTTGTTGGGTCTTGTTTGTGGGTCCTTTGTGGGGAAGGGCTTTCTTTGTCTGTTTCTTTCTTTTTCTTTTCTTTCCGCAGATTACATAATATTTTTTTAATTTTTCTCTTGTTCAATTTTAAAATTTATTGAATTTTTAAATGGGAAAAATGGGGACCATTTCTGATTTTTTTTTTTCTTTCCCCACAAGTTAATTTAGGTTTCCTTTTGTGACTTGTTGTTCATGTGGTTTTTATTCAGGATGGAGACATAAAAGGGCAACCTAGGAATTCAATGAATTCCAACCAGTTCCTTCTGGGCCAGTGTTGACCAAGACAAAGAAAGAGAATTTGCCTTGAAAAAGGTCACCAAATGCCCCCCCCCCCTCTCTCTCTCTCTCTCTCTCCTTCTGATTATTTAATGATGTCATAGATATTATAGCATTGTTTTATTTACCACAATAATTATATTTAATGTTGTAATGCATCTAGTACAGTCTCTTCTTTTATATCTTTTTACTGTTTTTCATTTTTTTTAGTGTTTATTTTTAAAAGCCTCAAAGAGTAGAGTAGGTGGGTAGCTGCCATTCATGGCCCAAATAATAAGAAGGCTATGTACATCTTGACACAATTGCTTTTGATTCATGAACTTGCTTTTTTATATTGGATTTGATCCCTGTGGTTAATGTTTTCCCACTCACAACCTGTCATATATCTATATAGTAATTTCTATATGTTTTAATAAGGGGTATACTTAATTGTCAATTAGCTCTTTATTTAATTACATTTTTTGAAAATTCGTTGTGAAAGAGATGTCACGTTCAAATATCCGTATAGAGATATAATAATATCAGTATACGGGAGATTTGGGGAGTTAGATACAACTCTCACCCTCTCTGATTTTTGAATTCGGTTTTGGGGCATTGTCCAGATAACCAAATTGCGCATGAGTTGATTGGGAAATTAAATAGAGTTTCTTTTAGCCACCAAAGTGTCCATAAGCTAATTAAGTATTAATCACGATTCACAACTGAGGTTGTCAATAAAATTGACCCAGCAGTCAATTCCATTGGGTCAATCGCCACATGCCCAACTGTCATCCATATTCTGATGACCCAACCCATAACATGGATTTGAAGTCTTTGCCTTCAATTACATATTAAGGATTTGATGTCTTTACCCCAAATTAGTTGGTCGTGTTGTCTTGTTCACATTTAAATTCCAATTAACACTTATAAAGAGTGGCATTGATTAAGCCCTAACTAAGGTTTTTGGTTTTTGGATTATTTTTTTTTCAATTACATAGAAAGGATTTGATGTCTTTACCCCAAATTAGCTGGTCGTGTTGTCTTGTTCACAATTCAATTAAAAGTACTACTTATAAAGAGAGGCATTGATTAAGCCCTAATTAAGGGTCTGGTTTTTAAGTATAAGTGATAGTTTAAATTAAAGGGATGAGAATTTCTCACACACACACAAAGATAATGCCGTGATTTAGTATTAAAAAAGAGAATTTGTAGATCCTCTTGTCTTGGCTCAACATACACGGCAAAAGGGATGCCCAACAACATTGCAATTCTGGTAAAAAAGAAATCCCTCATAGGCTTTGTCATTTTCAAAACTAGATATTTCTCAAGAATGGCAAGGATTTTTTTTAGTTTTAAAATGCAGAGGTCTTTGTCCGCTTCGCTATTTCAGGTTCTCCTTTTGGACTTTGGATTTCGGATTTGAAATAATATCAAGCACTTCAACATATAACTCAAAAAAGAAAAGATAAAAAAATATTGAACACATGTTTATAATAAACCTTGTGGATATAGATTATGTCAAATCTCAGATTCAGAGTTTCATTAGTAGAGACATGTTTTGGCTCCTCTTCGTCTCCAAGCTCCCAGTAGCTTACCTTTACACTTTTTTTATTGAAGAAAAAAATGTAGGCTATGATGAAATATTGGGTCTACCACCAACACATGGTGAATGGTTAATTTGCTCAAAAGTTTACGCTATCATGGAAAATTTGAAATGATGGATTTATTTATTCAACATTTGGTACAAAAACGACTTTCACTAGTAAATTATTCAACATTTGGTACAAAAACGAATTTCAAATGATGCTCAATTTGTTATCTCGTGCTTTGACGCGGTTTATGTTTAATCGAAATCTTACTTGATTGATCCTATTAAAGATAACATTGAATCTCATTGGTTTTTAGCAAAGTATTAACAATATATATATCTAATTTGATGAGTCGAGAATGGTATTATCATTAGTATAAAATTATTGTCATTCAAGATTTGATTCGATAATATTATAATCGAAACATGTTACGTGACGTCAAATTATCGCCCACAAAATAAGACTTATAATACATGTACTGGATCATACATACACTCTTATAAGAAAACATACACTTTGACCAAAAACACACACACACACTTTTATAAGAACCCACACAAGTTGATTTGCACCATCTATTAAAACATGGATAGATGCATGGTTGCTGAAGTGTTGTAGTCTCCGAACTCATTCATTGACCATTATTAACTTTACATTGGTGCAATCTTCTTTTGTTTTCTTGTATTTTACATTAGTGCAATCTAACTCTCATAAACTTTGATTATTTATCTTTTTTATTATGCTAGCTAGACAAAAAAAAAATGAGGATGATGCGATGTGTTGTGACTGGTCGGGAAATTCTTAGGATTTATGTCCCGATATAATCTGTTAAAGAGGTGAAATTTTTTTTTTCCCTTTTTTCTGTCATGAACTTGGAAGCTTGAAAGAAAACTGAAAGGATTCAAATCCAATTTCTATCTGCCGTATTTATTTGCAAATCGCAATGTTGTCGCATATAAATTTTGGTCAAATTATTGTCATTCAAGATTTGATTCGATAATATTATAATCGAAACATGTTACGTGACGTCAAATTATCGCCCACAAAATAAGACTTATAATACATGTACTGGATCATACATACACTCTTATAAGAAAACATACACTTTGACCAAAAACACACACACACACTTTTATAAGAACCCACACAAGTTGATTTGCACCATCTATTAAAACATGGATAGATGCATGGTTGCTGAAGTGTTGTAGTCTCCGAACTCATTCATTGGCCATTATTAACTTTACATTGGTGCAATCTTCTTTTGTTTTCTTGTATTTTACATTAGTGCAATCTAACTCTCATAAACTTTGATTATTTTTCTTTTTTATTATGCTAGCTAGACAAAAAAAATGAGGATAATGCGATGTGTCGTGACTGGTCGGGAAATTCCTAGGATTTATGTCCCGATATAATCTGTTAAAATTTTTTCCTTTTTTCTGTCATGAACTTGGAAGCTTGAAAGAAAACTGAAAGGATTCAAATCCAATTTCTATCTGCCGTATTTATTTGCAAATCGCAATGTTGTCGCATATAAATTTTGGTCATGAGCTGGAACCTTCTAAAGTTTTCGTGTAAACACCAACAAAATTATATTGTTGTTTCCTCTTGAAGCAAATATGTGTTTTGTCCGACAAAAGGTTGAACTGTCCAATATGAAGGGCACATTTGCCAATTTAGCTAGGAGGTAAGATTGAATCAGGATATAAATGACTAATTAATTATAAGAAAATAAAGGGTTAAATGTTTTTACCGCTATAATCAACTGAGCTATTCCAGCTGATTATCTTAGTTTTTCAGATTTCTCAAATTCTTCTTTTTTTTGGGTCAATAATCATTTCGTTTAGTGACATTTAGTTATTTTTTATTGAAAAAAGTCCTGAATTTAGATCCATGTAGAAGAGTTTGTAATGCTACGGAATTTAAAAAAAAAAAAATCTTAGGGCTCGTTTGGGACTGCTTCTCTAAGAAGTACTTTTGCTCATAAGCCCTTCTAACAAAATCGCTTTTATTATAAAAATCTTGAATTTTTATATATAAAAAAATTAAAGTGCTTCTCTAGGAAGCGCGTCTAAACTTTTCTGCCAAACGCTGTCAGAAGTGCTTTTAGTTATCAAAAAGCGCTTTTGGCCCTTTCAGAAACACTCCCAAACAGGCCATTATTTTGTTTAATTGTCGAGTTGAAACTAGATCAATGTCAAACCTTATTTTGTTTAATTGTCGAGTTGAAACTAGGTCAATGTCAAGTCGGGACTTTGAAATCGACTTTGAAATATTAATTATGAATAATGATTTCTTATCTCAATTGACATATTATGTTGTTAGATTATCAATGTAAGAAATGAATCATACATTTACAAAAAAATATTCATTTTAAGAGTGTAACAACATACCATCTATTACTTATAGTTGTTCTCAAGAGATAACCATCCATGAGTTTGTGTTTGCTTAGGAACCTAAATCCATGACGAAAGTGAGGAGGAGAGATTCTTGGATACAACCGGAGATATATATCCCCATGCTGGTAATGATTAGGTGAGGGATCAAAGGCCATGTGTAAATGGGAAGGATTAAGAAGCTGACATTCCCCTAATGATTCTTCCAAAAAAGAAAAGCCATGGAATCTAGGAAATGATGAGAAAGCTCATTTTGCAAATTCACCTGCTCTTTAAAAGTAGGGGAAAAAGAAAGAAAGAAAGAAAGAAAGAAAAAAAGCATTGAAAGCTGAAACTTATTTTGCAATTAGAAACAGCTGGCGGCCAGATGAAGCAGATGATTGATTGCAGGGGCCACTGTAATGCATTTCTAGTGCTTTACTTCAACTCTGAGAATTAAGATTTTGTCTGCTACAGATGAGATGATTACCTACTGGGTTAATTGGCTATGGACCCCTGATTAGCGTCTGATTATTATAATGGAAATGCAATTTCTATTTTATTTTTGGAAGAAAGAAAGAAAAAAACAAAGAAGAAGAACGAAATAACGAAAGAGAAAAAACAAATCGAAGTTGTAACAGGGAAGACTGGGCCGCATGGCATGAGCTGAGAATGGCGGGTTAACTTTCAAAAAAATTATACTTGCCGCCCACCGTGGGGCTCGAACCCACGACCACAAGGTTAAGAGCCTTGCGCTCTACCAACTGAGCTAGACGGCAATGTTTGATGAGACACCGCATTGTTCGTATTAATAGGAGTCCCACATCGGGAAAGTATAATAGTAATTTACACCTTAAATATAGGGTTGTTATTGATAATAGCACCAAGGCCTTTGGGATAAAACCCCACACCTATAATAACCAAAAGAAATATATTGGATTTAGGTGGCTAAGTTGGGGACAATATCGATGCTAGTGGGTGAGCCTATGCGGTGTTTGGTACTAGCATTGCATAGTGTCGATGGGGTAATCCTACGAGTGTTCGATACCAACACACATTAGTGTGGGTGGTGGGCCTATGCATTGGTTCGGTGTACCAACATGCATAAAATGAAGGCTCACTACGAATAGCACTGAGGCCTTTTGTAAATTTTTTATTCGCATCCTCATCTTTTTGTATTAAATTACTTTTTCAAATTTGGGCAAACAAAATGGGATTATTGACTACAACGTTGAATTTATCTAGAGACCCCAAAGACAAGAAAACAGTTGTGAGTGCTTTTGGTACTCTTTCAAAGTCCAGCATCATCCACAATTTAAAAAATCAATCTAAATCGGTGCTTTCAGTCCATATACAGTTGCATGAGCTAAGTTAGAACTCAAAACTGGCTCTGAAGAAATGCTATAACAAGTTTAAAAACCTTTTCAGTAGTTTTTTTTAAATTGGATATGGCACATGGACTTGAGGCTTCAAATGCCATACGCCCACATGGCCCATTTGGCTTTAACAAATAGATCACCAGGCGCATACAATTTCATAAACTGAAAGAGAATGCCAAATTGAGATGTGCAGGTTTCTAATTGAGAATGGCTAAGAAATACTGGCAATTAAATTTCAGAATCACAAACACTGCACGAGTTCATAATATTATAATTTGAACATACTGCCAAAAACACAAGTCTGGACTCTGAACCTTACAATCTAACTGACTTTGAACCCCCTCTCAAGCTACCCAAAATCACAACTCTGAAAAACCCAAAGTTAATCTGCTCCTGAGCCACTAAAAGCTTCTACTTTACCACCCTAGCATGGTGATGTCAACTTGAAAATCAGAGGTTTTGTAGAGTTGTCACCAGTGAGAACAATACCGAAAGGGCATTTCTGCAGGCAAGGTTACGCAGTCTCCGTGCTAATCAGATTTAAGATCTACAGTAGAATTATTATATGTACGACCGTTTTGGAACCAAAACTTTCCTCTTTCAACTGATATAGATCACCGAGATTGGTTAGACGGGAGAAACAAATGCAAAATCCAAGATAAAAAGATCTGTCATGCCAATTCAATTTTATAACTGACAGACGATGCATGGTTGGGGTCAGAGGTGGTTGCCTAAGGCCGTAAGCAAAATATGGGGAAAGCGTGAAAGTAGTCCTGGAAGCAACTAATTGATAATCTCAGGAGAAAAGGTTTTGCAGGTTTACCTTCGCAAGGATCTTCTTCTGATACCAGTATCCCTGTTGGAATTGATCAAGAGTTAATGATTGCCAAATCAATCAGTTAAGATCATTAGAAAAGCATATGCCACGTCAATAGAGTATTTTACCATGTCAGTTCCATAAATGTAATCACAGCAGGTGAAAACTGAAGCAAAATTGCTATGGCTTTGTCCTCCAACATAGCGTTGGTAATCGTGGTACTCAGCACCGCCAGCGGAAGTCATCACTGTATAATAAACCATAGATTACAACTTGATCCGCATCAAATACAGTGGTCAAACTTCAGTGCACAAGATACAAAACAAGCATACAACGAGCAGATATTGAGAAGACACAATATGGTTCTTGTGCTTCCTAAAAAAATATAAAAATAAACAGTATGGAATAAGTCATCGCACTCATACAAGCAATCCAAGCAACTACCCTGAATTCATAGATTGTAGCAGTCTAACTAGCACATACAAGTTCTAAGGTTTCCTCCTCAGCCAACCCACTAGGGGACTAATGTAATACCCTATGTGACTGAACTAGCTCTTTATCCACATACATTCCACCTATAAGGTGGCAGAAGCCTCACTAACGTAATTCTCTAGCCTTAACCAACAGTATGCAATTAATCTCATGGGTCCTTCACCATAGCAGTTGGTCCTTCCAAAAAATTACTTTTCATTTTTTGTTTTAGATCGGTAATCACCTCCTGTATTTGGAGTAACTTTCAACATTACAGGCAACCCACCACATGCAGCTGTGATCAGATACAAGTAAGACAATCACTTCCGGCAAAGGATTTTTTTTGGTATCAGCCCTTTCCTATGTCTCTCTCTGAAGTGCTACCATAGTGGCATGAGGAAAGTATACATATCTGAATTATTATGTTAACAATAAGGCTTAAACACACTGATCAAAAATAACATTCATAGCGCAAAAAGCTGACTCAGAAACCAAAATTCATATATTACCTCTAACAGATAAACCAAACGCATGTAGTTCTTGTATAAAAGCTTGACGATCAGCATTTAAGCATGAAAGTTTATTTGATAAAACTCATGCAACCTCCATTTGAAGAATGTTTTACAACTATCATGGTGCTGAATGAGACATTATTGACCAACATTCAACCTATTTGCTTTTTCCCCCAAAAATTTTATTTGTCGATGTGCAAATGATTACTTTTGCCAGATCATTAGGAGAAAAGGCATTATTGTACTGATCCTAGACCTCATCATTAAAGTGAAGGAACTGTTTAAGATCCTTCAAATTAAAAGTACTTAGCATAGAATTCTATTAGTAAAGAGAGAAAGGAATTCCAAAGTTGTCACTATTCAGTCACAATCAGCTAACGAAGAAAATGACTGCAAGCACCAAAAAACAAAAAGCAAAATGCAGCATGTGTACCCGCTGCGTGTTTTCAATGGCCTCAATCTGCTCCACTACCAGAAGGTGACCATGTGGCCAGGAGCATATGGTGCTGCAAACCGAAATGGAGCAGTGTACTTATGGTGAACTCTCTGGATTTTCTCATACCCCAATTTGCTATGCAAAAATCTGTGAATGCAGTAATTGGTAAAATCTTCTACCAAGAAATAAACTAACAATTGGAAAAGCTTCTCCCATCCAGAAGGCAATGGCAATCCTGTTCGAATCCCTATTATCTGCTTGTAAACAGAATCTAAACACATTAAAAAATATGACCAAAGAAAAATTATTACAGGAAATAGAGGAGAGAAAATTACAAACTTTAATCACCCGTAATTGATGCAGGTATGCTAAGAATAAAATACATAAATAAATGCCCAAAAAAAGTATTCTGAGGTCAAAAATGAGGAAATCCCCCCTCTCCCTCCCCCACCCACCCAACCCACCCCCCCCAAAACCCCAAATCCTATTACACAAAACCTATAAGAGATACAAAAATAAAAGGAACTAACCCAATATTTTACAAAACCCCGCAAACCCAATTCCACATATGCAACATTCTTCAAAACCACGAAATCCGAATTCCACAAATTCAATCATTTTCAAAACCCAGCAAACCCAATTCCACAAATTCAATCATTTTCAAAACCATGCAAACCCAATTCACAAATTCAATAATTTTCAGTATCCCGCAAACCCAATTCCACAAAGTCGCAGATTGGAATTCAATGAACCCGAAAGACGAAATCTGAACCTGGATAGAAGAGTAAGAGACGAGCTGAAAATGGCCAACAACAAGAAGGAACATGCCCATAACATACTTGTAGCACTTGAGCATTTCATAGAAGGGCAATCAGACTTTGGGCTGGGTCTTGTAGCTGTCGAGGCCGGCCCATCTGAGAACCTCTGCGAAAACGAGAGGGAGAGGGACGACGGAGAAGATGACGAAGAGGAAGAGAATTTTGTCGGCCAGATAAAGCACATGATTGCAGGGGCCACTATATGTATGTAGGTGTAAGTTCGACTGTTCGAGAGGTTTACTTCAACTCTGAGAGTGAGAATCACTTAGGAAGAAAAAAAAAAAAAAAAAAAAACTGACGATGAAGAAGAAAGAAAAAATTCGAAGAAAAAGAGAGAAAAAAAAACCAAAAAGAAGAAAAAAAATCGAAGTTGTAAGAGGGAAGGCGGGGCCGCGTGGCATGAGCCCACTATCATGGGTCGACAAGGATTTTCAAAAATTAGTCTCGTCCACAACCGCGGGCATCGAACAAACGAACGCGACGTTAAGAGCTTCGCGTGGAACCAACTGTGATACACGAGCTCCTGTCAATTAATTAACGCATTATTCAATTTTATAGAGTCCCACATCGGGAAAGTATAATAGTAATTTACACCTTAAATATAGGCTTGTTATTGATAATAGCACCAAGGCCTTTGGGATAAAACCCCACACCTATAATAACCAAACAAAATATATTGGATTTGGGTGGCTAAGTTGGGGACAATATCGGTGCTAGTGGTGGGGCCTATGCGGTGTTTGGTACTAGCATTGCATAGTGCCGGTGGGGTAATCCTACGAGTGTTCGATACTAACACACATTAGTGTGGATAGTGGGCTTATGCATTGGTTCGGTGTACCAACACGCATAAAATGAAGGCCCCCTCTACTAACAGCACCGAGGCCTTTTGTAAAATTTTTATTTGCATATCCACATTTTCATATAAGATTACATATCTTTTTCAAATCTGGCCGAACAAAATGGGATTATTTACTACAACGTTGAATTTATCTAGAGACCAAAGACAAAAGGCAACAGTTATGATTGCTTATTATACTCTTCCAAAGTCCAGCATCTTCAACGGGGCCTTTTCACCACAGCCATCTTTCTTGCTTTCAGAAAACAGTTTAACCAAAAGGCGATGACAACATTATAGCTGGAAACCTTTATGCGTTAGAACACCAAAAAATAATCTAAATACAGTGTCTTCAGTCCATACACAGTTGCATGAAAGTTGGATGAGCAATGCTATAACAAGTTTAACAACCCTTTCAATAGTGTTTTTTTATTTTATAAATTGGATATGGCGCATGGACTTGAGGCTTCAAATGCCATTTGGCATTAACAAAATCGATCACCAGGAGCATAAAAGTTCATAAACTGAAGAGAATGGCAAATTGAGATGTGCAGATTTCATATTTTGATTTCAAACTCCTGCTCAAGAAACACTGGCAATTAAATTTCGGGATCACAAACACTGCACGAGTTCATAATATTATAATTTGAACATACTGCCAAAAACACAAGTCTGAACTCTGAACCTTACAATCTAAAGTGATTTTGAATCCCCCCCCTCAAGCTACCCAAAATCACAACTCTGAAAAACCCAAAGTTAATCTGCTCCTGTGCCACTAAAAGCTTCTACTTTCCACCCTAGCATAGTGATGTCAACTTGAAAATCAGAGGTTTTGTAGAGTTGTCACCAGTGAGAACAATACTGAAAGGGCATTTCTGCAGGCAAGGTTACGCAGTCTCCACGCTAATCAGATTTAAGATCTACAGTAGAATTATTATATGAGCCTCCGTTTTGGACAGTGTTACTTTCCTCTTTCAACTGAAATAGATCACCGAGAGTGATTAGAAGAAAGGGGCAAACAAATGTAAAATCCATGATAAAAAAACTTAGCACATCAACGATGAAACTAGTCCTAGAAGCAACTAACCAGTTACCAAATTCTGCCTAGAAGGCTAAAAGAAATTCACTAATTAAATCACCTGTACTATTATTAGAGAAAAAAAAAAATCAACTGGTTGCATTGATTAAATACATATTGAGCTATATCAATCAGAGTCTTGATTTCCCATATGTTCAAGAACTAAAATGTCAATCATGCTCAACCAAGATGCCACAATACTTAATTGATAATCTCAGGAGAAAAGGTTCTGCAGGTTTACCTTCTTAAGGATCTTCTTCTGATACCGAAATCCCTGTTGGAATTGATCAAGAGTCAATGATTGCCAAATCAATCAGTTAAGATCATTTGAGAAGCAAACGCCACATCAAGATAGTATTTTACCTTGTCAGTTCCATAAATGAAATCACAGTAGGTGAACACTGAAGCAAAATTGCTCTGGCTTTGTCCTCCAACATAGTGATGGTAATCATGGTACTCAGCACCGCCATAAAATGGGATATATTTTGTGGGACTCCAGGGGAAGTCATAACTGTATAATAAACCATAGATTACAACTTGCTCCGCATCAAATACAGTAGTCAAAACTTCAGTGCAGAAGATACAAAGCAAGGATACAATGCAGATATTGAGAAGACACCATATGGTTCTTGAGCTCCCTAAAAAAAAATTAAAATAAACTATATGGAAGAAGTCATTGCAGACTCATACATGCAATCCATAGCAGTTAGTCCTTCCAAAAAATTACTTTTCATTTTTTGTTTTAGATCTGTAATCACTTCCTATAATCAGAGTAACTTTCAACATTACAGGCAACCCACCGCATGCAGCTGTGATCAGGTGCAAGTAAGACAATCACTTCTGGCAAAGGGCTTTTTTGGGTATCAGCCCTTTCCCACGTCTCTCTCTGAAGTGCTACCATAGTGGAATGAGGAAAGTATACATATCTGAATTATTATGTTGACAATAAGGCTTAAGCACACCGATAAAAAATAACATTCATAGAACAAAAAGCTGACTCAGAAACCAAAATTCATGTAATTCCTCAAAAATATAAACCAAATGCTTGTGGTGCTTGTATAAAAGCTTGACGCTCAGCATTAATGAAAGTTGAACTGGATTATCTTAAAAGTTCATTTGATTAAACTCATGCAATTTCCATTTGAAGAATGTGTTACAACTATCATGGTGCCGAACAAGACATTATTGACCAACATTCAACCTTTTTGCTTTTTCCCCCAAAAATTTTATTAGTCAATGTGCAAATGATTACTTTTGCCAGATCATTAGGAGGAAAGGGCATTAGTGTACTGATCCTAGACCCCATCATTAAAAGTGAAGGAACTGTTTAAGATCCTTCAAATCAAAAGTACTTAGCATAGAATTCTATTAGTAAAGAGAGAAAGGATAGGAAGGAATTCCAAAGTTGTCATTATTAAGTCACAATCAACTAAAGAAGAAAATGACCGCAAGCACCGAAAAACTGAAAGCAAAATGCAGCATGCGTACCCGCTGTGTGTTTCAATGGCCTCAATCTGCCGCAGTGCTATCCACGACCAGAATGTGACCATGTGGCCAGGAACCATTGCCGGACCAAGAAAAGATGGGATACCAAGGATCAAAATCTCAGCCCAATGAGCATATGGCGCTGCAAACCCAATCGGAGCAGTGTACTCATGGTGAACTTTGTGGATTTTCTCATACCCCCATTTGTTATGCAAAAATCTGTGAATCCAGTAGTTGGTATAATCTTCTACCAAGAAATAAACTAACAATTGGCAAAGCATCTCCCATCCAGAAGGCAATGGCAATCCCGTTCGAATCCCTATTATCTGCTTGTAAACAGAATCTAAGCATATTAAAAAATACACCCAAAGATATATTATTACAGGGAATATAGGAGAGAAAATTACAAACTTTAATCACCCAGTATAGGCACAATAATCTCATTAAGAAAACTGAAAAGCTTCGTATGAGTAACCCTTACGTTTACATGAAATGAGGAAATTTTAAAAAAAAAATTCACATCCCTTACGTTTTACGCAGAATGCAAAGCCCCCCACAAATCCTATTACACGAAACCCATAAGAGATACTAAAATAAAAGGAACTAACCCAATATTTTACAAAACCCCGCAAACCCAATTCCGCATATTCAACATTCTTCAAAACCACGCAATCCTAATTCCACAAATAAAACCCCGAGAACCCAATTCCAAACATCCAATACTTTTCATAACCCAGCAGACCCAATTCCACAAATTCAATCATTTTCAAAACCCAGCAAACCCAATTCCACAAATTCAATCATTTTCAAAACCAGCGAACCCAATTCCACAAATTCAATCATTTACAAAACCCAGCAAACCCAATTCGCATATTCAATATTTTTCAGAATTCCGCAAAACCCAATTCCACAAAATCGGAGATTGGAATTCAATGAACACGAAAGAAGAAATTCGAACCTGGACAGAAGGGTAAGAGACGAGCTGAAGAGGGCCAACAACGAGAAGCAACATGCGCATAACATCCTTGTAGCACTTGAGCATGTCAGAGAAGGGCAATCGGACTTTGGGCTGGATCTTGTAGCGGTCGAGGCCGGCCCATCTGAGAACCTCGGCGAAAACGAGAGGGAGAGGAACGACGGAGAAGATGACGAAGAGGAAGAGAATGTTGTGGAGGTAGAGCACGTAATCGGACTTGGAAGCCGAGTAGTTGAACCACAGAGTCTCGGCAAAGGTGAGGTTTCGGCCCAGAGCCGAAACGGCCTCCTCGAGAGTCTGGTAAGGCAGCATTGGACGGTGCCGATGGTTCTCCGACGAGTATGATCAACGCCGGCGATTGGAGATTGGAGATGAGCTTGAAGGTGAGAGAGAGAGAGAGAGAGAGGAGGGGGGAGATTAGGTACACTTAGCTGCAGGGGTTGTGGGCTGGAGGAGGTTGTGTTGGTTAAAATATGCGGGAATTTTAAACAACCTTTTAGAGAATCGCGCAGTGGGCAGCACACAATTTTACTGACAGGGATGATAATTTTCCCAACTAGTAAAACTATTTTATTTTTTACTTTATTTACTCATCAGTGACTTCATTTCTATAAATATGATTGCTAAATATTGAGATCTATGTTGATTAGCAGAAATTACGTGTGCAAAATTGAAATGAAATCAAAACGGAATTGAGATAAAGATGCCGTGTTTTTATCATATTTGTGTTAAGGGTTGTGGGACAGGATGAGTTGTGTAAACGAAATTGCCGAGCTAACACTTTGGTAACACGAAATTCATATAGAGCACAATCAATATAAATTGACACGTTTTCATGTAAGTTTATGTTTCTTTGTGTAAAATGTATTACTGATGTCTCGTTTGATTATGCTACTTTATGCTTACTTTGTTGCACTAGCAAAAACTATTATATATGTTGAAGAATATAAGTCTCGTATTGGAAAC